AGATTTTCTAGCAAATGCATAATACATTAATACAATATAATACCTACCATAATTTTGAAGTGAATATGTATGTTTCTCTCCTACATCTCACTCTTTTGTATGTTTTAGTTGTTTGTGGATAGATTTATTAATACAAACACCATGTAACGCATGTAGACTGAAGCTATTGGTGCTAGAGTGAACCAAACTGCACTGTACCATGAGGGCTATTTACCCGTGTGCCCCCTATTTACACTACTGGTACATAAAAAAGGTAGTCATATTTCTTAAAATAAATCAGACACTCATGGAGAAAGGTATGTTTCTGTTTTATTTTTCACAATCAGGGTGGATGAAAGCATTTGGTAGTGTTAAAATGGATAAAATACAAACACTTAGAAAGTAACAATACATTAAAAACTGTGAGAGGCAATAGAAAGGAATTTCAGAAACTATAATCACAAATAAGATGATTCGGGAGGATTACTCAAAATGCATTTCATACTTCCTACTACATACATTTCTAATGGTGGTCCCACTCCCACCTTGCTTCAACAAGACAGATACTTGTGATTATATCAATATGCTACAGGAAGTCCATTCCTTCTTATAGTCAAATTTTTCAAATCACCTTCAACACATCAATGGCATAATTGTTTAGGTCCATGGCTGTCAAAAATGCACTAGTTTATTGGTACTATTCCTATAAAGTTTGTGGAAGGGGGAAAGAATGAAAGGAAAAAAGACATCTTCAAGTTTCTGTACACAGTTACAGGGTCAATACAACTCAATTAATTGTTAATTTACGACAAGAAAAGCCACACATTACATACAATGTCTTTTGCCATTTCTCTAAACCAAGTAATATATTAATGTAGGTTCTACAAGCGATCATACATACGCCTATCTCTTTTGTGAACATTTTCCTTGTTTGCCAACACTATAGAACAAAATTAATTGAAATCACTGACCCATATCTGTGGAAAAAAACTTGTCTTGGTTGGAAGGAGAGGAATGGGCAAACATTATGAAGTATTCTGCAATGAACTGTAGACATGGGTTTGCTGTGAGCACATGCACCCTGGCAGTATAGGCTACTGTGTCAACAATCACTCCAAGAATCTGGCACAGAGACCAGCTTTCATATCCTCAAAATATTTTTTAATCTACATCAAAACAGGGTAATATTTTTTTTATTCACATCACAGAGAAACAAACACACAGTATGTAGAGAACACTGTAAATTCTCTAGCACTTAAGAATTTCATATACATGGTCTACTATTACCTGGAAACATGGACATTATTTCTTGTATTACCATTACCATAATTATTTTAAATATTATTAGTATTGTTATTTATTTCCACAACTAAGCAACAATTTAATTTTATATGTGAATATATGCATGTAAAACAGTGTTCCATATTGGTCTGAAGCATGGTCATATGTCTGCATATTTACGATAGAATGTTGACCACAGTCATAAAAAATGCATTGAGTCTGTATACAGCATGCTTCTATGCTACCGGTTCGTCTTAGTTTCGCAATTTTTTTATCTTCTGAGGAATTCTTTTATTATGGTAAAAATAATGAAAGTTGCACATTTTGCTTTAGGATCATTAAATTTCAGAAATTTTCAAATTCCTTAGCAATACTATTATAAGCACCTTTATTGCATAAGCAAGAGGTAGTTAAACTTAGTAAACTTGACACCAGTTTAGGCTAGTCACTTTTAGGGCACTCATTCAACATATGGCATTTGCCAAACACTGCTTTATTGGGAACACAGTCAAAAGCAATGGAATTCATTCAGTTCTCTGTATGATGACTGGCATGCAAAGAGGAATAATTTTGCCCCACTGTAGGTTAGAAACTAATGACTTGTGTAGATTTGCTAAACTTAACTAGCTGATGATACTTTTGTATTTCAACTAGTTAAAACATTTAAATTACCTGGTGATAAAGAAAAAAAAAATAAAATTAAAGGTATCCTGTAACAGGTCTTGGAGGCCCATAGGGTTGTGAGATGTTGATGTTCCCACATTTTCTAGACAATCAGCTCATAGATGGCAGCAAGGTTGTCAGCACTACGTGCCGGTCGCTGAGTTGACCCCAGGGCCATAGTGCGGCCAGAAGGATTAAGTCAATTGAAAAAATCCAATGATCTCATCAGGACTTGACTATGCTTGTAGCATAGTGCCTCAACCAACTACATTACCGTGTGCCCCTGCAGGGATACCTTTACTTATCTGGTGATATAATTTATTACTAGAATGACAGACTAGTGCTCAGCTATTATGTTGGCACACTAATGTTAGTGACAACCTAGTTACTTGTGGATCCCCCCAATCCCTTCCCTCCCCAGTGCATATAAAGCAATAATGGAAATAAAGAAGAACATTCCTAGTGTTGCCACCTATATTAGACTTCTGGAAGACACCTTGAATTTCTTGAATTACAGTATATTCTTCAACATACACCTGAACAACGATAATGTAAAAGTTATAGTTCAGAATTAAATGTTTCAGGATATGCACTGCACATGTGAAGATAATTCTTGGAAGAAGCTAGTAAGTTTTGCAGTAACCCAAGAATTTCTAATTTTCCCTGGATGACAACTGTCCTTTATGCCTACAATTAGATTTTAAAGTTGCTCAATAAAACGAATATGAGCAATGGTGATTTAATGCAACTAAAATTTGGGCTAACAATTAATTAGAAAACTAGTACATGCATCACATGCATTTGAAAACAGGGAATATTAAAACATGTACAGGTTTGTGGAGTACAAAGAATATCATAATGACACAAAATGGAAACCAACAGAATGTTTCTGAATCGTAACAAATTAATACAGGGTTATTCATAAGTCCATGAAATATTTTGAAAATTTACAATAAATTTACTACGCAACAGATACCAAATTTTATTACACTGAAATAAACTCGCCAAGTTTTTTCTACATAGTTCACAGATGCTCTATGTGTCCACCTTTGCTGATACGGCAGAAATCTATGCAATAATCCATTTTGTTCCACACTCGTGTCAGCATATCACAGTTGACCAGAGCCACAGCAGCGGTGATAAGGTTGCAAAGATTCCTGAGATTAGCATAAAAAAAACTTGCAAACAGTCATTCTATATTGGCGTAACAATTACCATGCTCTGATGTATAGTTTATTTGTTGTGAATTTTCAAAATGTTTCACGGACTTACGAATAACTCTGTATTTTATTAAGGAAAACAGCATATATTTGCTGCTGCTGCTACTGCTACTACTACTACTAGAATGTAGAGTTTCCAGTGCTTTAGTTTCTGGCGAATCTCCTGAAACTAAGTTCCATCTGTAAGAGTCTAATTATATTGGTCAAATTTCATTAGAAGTCAGAAACTTGCGATTTTCACCCATCTTGAATTTTACTGGCTATCAATATAATCTATTAAATTCTGTGTATTTGCATTGTAGTGAATTTTTGTTTTATTGAAAATAATTATTATTTTCATTCTGTGCTATGTAGATACTCCCCACAAATGGCAAATGGATATGACCATTATAAATCAGCATTATANATATTTCCATAGTAACAGACTGCTATCATCAAAGGTAAGATTTATTTGAAAAACTCATCTTACAAAGCCATACGATAGAAAGAAAACGAAGATGCAAAAGTGAGATACCTTTGTAACACTGGCAAGATATAACAACAGATTTAATTGCTACTTTTCAACATATCTAATTTAATTAAAACTGCAGATTTCAGTGTGTTCCATACTAGGTCATATTGTTTTTCAACACTCAGTTTACCGATAAAGTAAGGCAGGGAAGAATTTTATTTTATACATATACCTCATAAACATCATGCAAGAAATCATCAGACTTGAAAGGCCTCTGAGGTGGCAGTCCTAGTACTACATTACAAGATTATCTTGTGAAATACCTTTGTCTTATATTTCATGTGATGTTAAATGTAATATACTCACATATAATTTCACTGGAATGTAACACTTCATGCTGTAATTTAATGGATAAGTTGGAATTATTGTTTATGAAATATATGGATACATTATCAATATCTACAATAAAAATAGGTTTTCTTCAATCCTGGAATCTAGAAAGTATGTAGTTCTAGTTCAAGAAAAATAAATAATGAGAAACATTAACAGTCTCTTCCTACAAAACATGTCTTAAAAGTGAAGCAGATCCTAAGAGCTTGGAAGGAATGCCTAGTATAATGGTTTATCTTTGCATTTTTAGTGTTACAGATCTGAGATCTGAAATTACTGTACGCAGTGTCCTGCTAAACATGCTATATCCATACACACCCATACTATTCTACATGCAAAGAGTTTGATGTTGCTAGATAGAGCATTGGAAAGATTGATTTGCTTCAATCTAGACCTCTCATATCCTACAGCTTTTGTGAAGAGAAAAAAGATACAAGGTTAGGTTTCCTGAACAGGTACAATAAGAGCTTTGGCCACTCATAGAGGGCATTTTGAAACTGCCATTGTACTAAATGTTCTAGGAGTTCATAGTTGAAAAGTTCCCATGCCAGTGTCATTCCTTCTCATACATGCTATTCCATAGTTTCCATCCTTCGTTGAACAAGTCTTTGTCCATAGTAAACATGACAGTAAATTCTGTAATCTCTTCAATAATAAAGAACTGACTCCATCTGAATGACCTAGGTGACCACAGTATTTTCATGCAACCCTGAATACCCCAAAACAGGAGCAATTTATTTCTGGAAGCACTGTTTGGTTGTTCTGCAAAGTCATTTTCTTTTTCATGCAGTCAAATGGATCATATGGCTGATAGATGCAACTGAAACTTATTTTGTCTGTGTATATGACATCTATGTGTTAAAATAACGATGGTTTTAAAACTTAATATATAATTTTAGAAACAATTATAATTTTGTAGGAAAAATTTAAAACTCATTACTTATATGATTAGTATTGCTTCTGAGGGATATTCATTAATTGCAAGGTACCAGAGTACTACAAATCAGTCAAATAACTTCAAAACTGAAAATGACGTTTATTTCATACTTAAATGCAAAATGAGAAACTCTGTTCCGATTAAATTGTGTGAAATATACAAGTGCATACTGCACATCACCTGTCCTGAATCGTAAAAAGATTAGTTCACTTTCACTTTCCTGCAAGAGCAGAGACAAAGCTCATGTCTGAAAATCACCATCTCATAGCATGTTTACTGTCCTTTATTCAGACATGACCATCACATCACTTGTCTGGGTAGCCATGTATGAAGTAACATACTGTTCTTGAACATGAACTGATATTTCTGTATGACAAGGTGGCAACACTAGCTATTATCCTTCTTCACACACTATTAATGTGCTGTGTATTGAATGTTACTCATAAATAATCCTGCATCAATGCAAATAGAGCAGGTTAGTTGTAGTTATCAGAATTACACAGCACAGAGACAGAACCTGTTTATAAAGTCAACACAGTTGAAATGTTTTCACCCCTTCCAACAACATACAATGAATTTACACATTAATATATATATTTTGAAACAGATATACTGCCATCAAGACTTTAGTATGAACTATCAATTTAAACATGACACAAGCTTGAGGTCCTATTGTAGACCAATGGTACCACCACTATAAACAGAGTACAGTTACACCATGTCTGATAGCTATATTTATTGAACACAGGCCTGTCAGTGGCATGATACAGAGACAGGAGAGGGGGGACCAGAGGCCATCTGCCAATTTAGAAGTTCATTCATTTTTCACAGGATGGAAAGTGAATTAACTTTAATTACCCAAATGAACTCATACAATTTTATAACATCTTCTGTAAACATGGGGGGGGGGTAGAGGGATCTGTCAACCTACTTCAGCCCCAAAACTAGGTTTCATTCATAGGAAACACATTTACGGAACTCGTTTCAATCATATACCCCTTATGTGAAGTAACTACTAGGCAGTAATGCATAAAATTGTTATTTATAATGCTGACAGTCAATCCATGCACATCAAAATTCTGTACGAATCAATATGAATTCTCATGCAAGTTCAGTGGTAAAAGTTATTCTATTTATTGTTCAGTTCCCACTTTCTAATTCAATTCAATTTATTTCAAATTCAAGCAGATCCAGATACAGGTTGTCCAATTAAAATAGTGGAGGAAGTGATGGAAAATATATACAGTTTTTCAGGTAACTTGATTGAAAAGACTTCAAATTTATGATTTCTTCTTAAGTGAACATGCTTTAAATACAGGGGGCTTATCTGATGATTGTGCCACAGCATGGACTTTGTGCTATGCATGCCCACTGTGTTGGTTACCACCTTTCCTATTCAGCTAGCTGTGGTGATATAAAACTGGAGCTATGCGTGAGCCTTCACCCTCAGGTAACTGGTCTGCCTGAAGTATCACTCTGAATTAATTTATCTTCATTAAGCATAAGACCCATTATCTTCCTTGAACTGAGAACATACCAAACACTAAATTTAATATCACACTGTGGAACTTCATGTACAGAATGTGGATTTAATGTTTCCGGTATGTTGTTTTGTATGTTCACATGCCCATTCAAATAAAAATTGTGGGGGGAGGGGGTACTGAACTCACAAGTGTGAACTAATTAAAGATACCAGTTTTAGAAATTACTGGATCACATTGCTGTAAAGTGTACACAACTATGGTTTTGTAACACCACAGCTCCAATAGTTTTCTGCAGTTCCCAAAAGATTCTCTTTGTGTTAGATAAAAACAAGTTTACACTACAGCACTCAGTATATATATATTACATGAATATTACGTGATGTGTAGTTCACAGCGAAGTGTTGGAGAAAATGTAGGAAAATGTTTCCCAGGGCTTGAGTTCTCCAGAGACATACTACTTACAATATTGTGAATAAAGTAAGAAGAAATGGTGTACATTAATAGACAGGAAATCAACATGTCATTATCGAGCATTAACACAAGAAATGATAGACAATATCAGAGCTCAGCTTAAATATTTGCCTCTTAAGCATCTGTAAAAGAAACTGGAATGTTAATAGACAGCAAGGACCACAACAAAATTACTGAAACCAGTCTTAGAGTGCAAGTCATGTAACCCACAAATTTCCGTGATTAATAACTTCGGTCATACGGGTACAATACTTATATTACAATTCCGTCAACAATGCAACCAATTTATTCCTTAGAATTTTCACTTTTTACAACATGTTTCGGCCCCAACCAGTCATCATCAGGTATTTAAATTCGCCAAAACTATTATCTGTTCGGTCAGAACACAATGGTGAATCTGATCCTGAGCTGACATTTTATCAGATGATTGTCTGGTTTATTTCAATGGTCATGTGAACACAGATAAGAACATACACAGAAGAACAAAGAAAACTGCATCCTATATATAAAATTTCATTCCACGATGTAGAAATTTATGGTTTGTGTACCCTGAGTACATAGATTATGGATACTGTGTTTCATGCAGATAAAGCTCCAGAAGGCTGAGTAGGAAAGGCAGGAAACCTATGCAGTAAGCATGCATGGATTAAAGGCTACATCCCAGCAGAGTTGCCAAATATCCTCATGGTAGCATAAAGAACTTAGCTCAGGTTATAAGAGGCCTTGTACTCACATCAGATGGCAGCCATTTGTAGTGGAGGGGCCTGAAAATGCAGGAACAGTGATAACAGTATGTCTCATCACTTAACAAAATCCATACCCATGTCCATGCAAATAAATATGTACACTCTTTACAGAAAATTTCTTATCATTCGCAAAATATGGGGAATTAGAATTTGAAGAAATTTGTAATATCTGTGAGTTTTATTGGTGAAAATTCTGTTTCAGAGATTTCTGCTACCTGCTTATATTACAAAATGACTTTGAATTTTCTTGGTTTTCCATGCATTCATTCCTTAAAGAAAGTGTAGTATTCTTAAGTCTGCCTGGAAGTGTAAAAAACCATGCCCAATAGCTTTATATAAACCGTTACCAAAACATAAGTGAATTCTGTATATCATATAGCAGAATGCGTGACAACATAATATTTACTAATGGTAACATAACCCAACCACACAGAAAATCTCTTCTATAATTTCTAATATCCAACAAAAGTTCATTTTTTAAAATTAAAATCTCCTAACACCATTCCACCCAATTTTTAACCATTAGTATAAGTACTTTAATCCTCTCGATTCCAAGCACAATAAAAAGGTTGCAGTGTTTTTGTATGCAATATTCTGTGCAGCTATGCTGATCTTAAGAATCCACAATACTTAAAGCAAGAGACAGGAGTACAGCAACACAGATGCTCTCAAACAGAAGGCAAATATCAAGTCAGCAATGTACATACAATCACTGTCATCTTCATGTTACACATTTAGGCAGCACTAATACAGTCATTGGAATATGCTTTCATTTATTAAAATTATGGTTAGATTTGCCCAAAATTGATACTGGAATTAGATGCTGTCCCAATTTGGAGTGGTATAGTGTAGTCTGAGTATTTACAGCTGATTAATTATTCATTTTAAAGTTACATCTAAAATGAGTTGCTATTCTCAATTACAGAACCAACTGATGGAAGTCTCTGGAATACTGACTTCTCCTGAAATGTTACAGAATGGTTTGGCTGTTATTATTTGTATCTTTGGCACTTCTTATTTAGCACTACACTATCCATAATAGTTAATTTTCATCCCTGATTATCATAGTGCACGTTGGGTTGATATTTGACAGTTCTATTAAATGGAGATGCAGAACTTTTTGTGCAGCTAGTTTCCATCACTTCAGAAACATGGAACACTGTATTCTTTAATGTTTTTCTTAGAAAATGAATTCTGTGGAGAGTGGTGATAGGAGGAATAGCAAATAGGAAATTCTGCTACTGTATGTTATCTGAATAATCCACTGAAGCAGAAGTACAGACTTTATCGCCCATCTCACAGCTAACACAGAGGTTTGAGTTCTCAAGAAGACGAGGTATTGAGAAAAGTGGTACAGTACCTTATTCATATTAAGGGTAGATAGTTACATGCAAGCATTCTCTGCATACACTGACTCCAACTAGATCTGTCCATTTTGGACTACATAATTCACCCAGCTATATCCTCTCCCCCTCTTTTGTGTACAGTTGAAAAATGATTCTCTATGGAAGGGAAGTGGAGGGTGTGGGGGGGAGAGAGAAAATATAAAGAAAGTGTACATCCAAGTATAAATTATACAGAGTAACAAATAAATTAAAAATGTTATCTTAGTGATACTGATCAAGAGGGGAAACAGAATCAACACTATTGACTAGATTCGTGATAAATGACTTAGGTAACAATAAACCTTTAAATAATATGCAATGTTTATCAATATTTTCTTCTTTTATGAAAAAATTGCAACCGAATATACACTTGTCTGCAAACTACCATAATAGCACATGGTTTAATAAATAGTCAGTGTCAGAAGATGGTTATGTGAGTACCTGTTGCTCACTCTATGTTTGTCAGCATCAACAAGTGCTTTGGTATCTATCAACGACGTTTGCTAGCAAATTAAATCAAAAGGAATGTCATGTACATAAGAGCATGTGGTTTGGAGTTTACCATCTGCTTTCACAAGACGCCCAAAATAAAATTTTCTGAAATACTGTTACTCAAAATTTGTCCCTGTAGATTTAGAAGTATAACCTTTACATGCTTTTGTGAAGAAACTGAATAAATATATGTTTGAAGCTTCCACAAAGCCAGGTTCAATTCTGTAACATTAAATATGAAACCAAAGTTTAAATTAATATGATTTTAATTTCTATTTTTCTGATGAAAAATCTAAAATCATTTTGCATGTTGTGGAAAGGAAGAATGAACTGGCAGTGTCTGAAAGAGGCCACATGCAGTAAAAAATTCATCTGTATGGGTAAATGTACATTAAAACACTGACTTTAAACAAGTATTTATTTGTTAAATTACTGTTTTGAGAAAGATAAGATCCAATGGGCTTAATTTTGGCAGAATGTCAAATACTGCATTCATATTTTAAGAATGGTTTGCCACCTCTCCTATTCATGTTGACTTTATGGTGTGATGGGAACTGTATATGCACCATGTACACAGTGCATGAGCATGTTCAACCTAACCTTGCCATCATGGAGAGGTGCAAAGGAGGGAAGCAGGGGGAGGGGACAAGTGATGATTGATGACAGGATGTAGTAAATTGTGATCTGTGCAAATTCCAAATGCACAAATATGTGATATGTGAACTGAAATGTCACTGTATAGGAATATCAAGTTAAATGCACAATCATCACCCAAACATGCATAGAAGTAAAAAAGATAGTACATGAAATGTGCATGTTGTGTATAATGTTGTTACTGAAATTTTGATATAACAGCACAGCCTCACGGGAAGTGACATCTTCATAAATGCACTTTTGTCATTTTCAGAACTCAAGAGGAGAAAAGAGCCTATTGTTTTGCTTCAATTTGGCTGAAAGTAGGGTTAGGTTGCATTATATTAGCATTTGAATACAATTTCTTACGTCATGCTACAAATATGCACACACTTCACTTAGAGAAGATATTACATATATTAGAGTAGGTTATTCAAATGCTTTATGCTTTATGTTCATGGCATATGACAAATGCTATACATATCCCCACTGCACAGAATTATATACGTGCATGAAAATTTATGTACGTGCAAAAGAGAGAGAAGATTTTGTGGCAAGATATAAATGATCATGATTGGTTATAAAGCCAAAATATGTTCCAGCAGAGTGCTCTGATGATAGGGCGATGTTTTCTTTGTGCTTGCATCCCAAATTAATTGCTCTTCCTGAAACGAGTGGGATGAAACCACATGTTAAGTGTCTTCCCTTAGTGCCCCCTGCTGCACCCTATGCTTGTCTGGCACTGGTTTCCATCACCTGCCAGTCGACCAGCTGATGAACCAGGTGGTCCATTTTTGGTGTTAGTACAGTCCACAGCCTCGCAAATTGTTGGCAATAATAACATCAGTGACAGCATCAAACACAAACTGGATGTTGTTGGTGTCAGTGGCACATGTCATATGGCAGTATATCTCCTTTGTGGTGGATTTGTTCTTGGCCTCAAATTGAGCCTGGATATATGCTGCTGCTTCTCCATACTCCTGTGCTCCTGCATCACACATAACACACATGCTGAGTTTTAGTAACAGGCTGACTGAAGACACAGTCTTCTAGGTATGGAACTGAGTTGAAATGTTAAAAGTTGAAATTTTGGAGCAACTTGCTACATTCTTTGACGACCACTCAGCTTGTCTGAAATGTTAGACATTTTTAACATTTTTACACATTGCCAAACCTCAAACTTGAAAGAGTGAAGCAACAAGCTCCTTCAAAGTGTTATTACTTTTACTACTTGACATAATGCTAAAGTTTTTTTGACAAAGGAGGCAGCAAGTTCCTCCAACACTTCGGCAATTTTGCCATTCTGATGAGGTGCTGTACTTGGATCCTGAAGAAATAGCCAGCAACTTCCTACAAAACATCAGTGATTGTTACCATTTTGATGGTGCTATACTTTAACCCTGAAGAAGGAGGCAGCAAATTCCTCCAAAACATGAGTTCTACCAATTCAACATAATGTGAAGATTCAATAGCGAATATGGATCACCGAGAAAACCTGCAAGTCTCAAACTGACTGGTTGACTCTTGGGTTATTTAATGCTGCTATTTCATTGCAGAGGTTATGTAGTGTGAAATGAGATGGAAAGGTGATCAGTAATGCTGAGACTGAAGGGCTCAGGGAGAAGGATGTTGTGGCCTGTTGTAAGGTAACAGACTCCAATTACTTTGACAAACTGAGAAAAGCCATGAAAAACACAAGTGTAGCTGGTCACCTGGCAGAGATTCAAAACAGTACAAGCTAAACGTTACTACTAGACCAGTCTTTTACATATTTATTCCATAGGCAATAACACTGCACAGAGCATGAAAATATTGATCCTTTGCATGTCTTTTGGAATATCCTATACTAGAGTATTTTCTTTGTTTATTCACTGTGATTCAACACTTAAAGAAGTTCTAGTGTGTTCTTCCACATGCCAATCTTCAAAGATATAGGGCAGCATTTAATGTAATGTGGATACAAGTGCTGCGGGTTCTTTAGTATACCACAATATTTAAAAGAAACTATTCTTCCTTTTTTTTTTTTTTCATTCTGGTCCATCACACTAACAGTTACAAAGACAAAAACAACACCGTCCAGTGTGACTATTTAAGTTTTATCACTTGAAGACTCATCACCCTTACATGTTTCGATCCCTACGGATCATCCTCAGGGGGCATCAATATCTTTTCCAGAAACTACTATTACAATAGGTGTTAAATTATATACATACATATATAATGTCTGAAATACACAATGTACACAATGTTCAACTTTTCACAGTCACAGCAGCCTTCCTGGTATTAAAATTTTTAAAGTTTTTAAAAACATTTACTTAAACCTGAAACATCTTCATTAAAACTAAACTAAGCACTTTACAATGTTTTAACATTAAAATAATTTGCTTATGAAATGAATACCACATGAAACAAGAACTTTCAGATAATTTCTTTTTCAAATTCCATTGTCAGGGTCACTATGCTGTATCATATTTAAGCATCCTGTTGCACTCTATACGATATATGACATAAACACCATCCCAAGTGCAAACAATATATTATATGTCCTTGATCTTGCTCCCCTTTACACTACATGTTTCGGCCTCAAACAGCCATCATCAGGTGTATACACTCACGTTGCTGTTACACTGCACTTAGTTTAAAATTGAAACCCACGAGTCTTCCCAATTGTTCTTTTCATCATTACTAACAAGTTTCGATTTATTAGAATCTACTTCGCTGATATCTGTCTGATTTGTGCATTATCTTTGTTACCTATACTCGTCAATTTTGATTATTATGAACTGGCACTTTTAAAATCTTCAGTTCTAATTTAAAAATTCTTTTAAAAATTAAAATTCTCAGGGTTACTCGCCCTATGTCTGTAGTGCTGCAGCGGCTACTTCTTTTTTTCAGCACTGTTATTCTGTGTAGAATTAGAACTGAAGATTTTAAAAGTGCCAGTTCATAATAATCAAAATTGACGAGTATAGGTAACAAAGATAATGCACAAATCAGACAGATATCAGCGAAGTAGATTCTAATAAATCGAAACTTGTTAGTAATGATGAAAAGAACAATTGGGAAGACTCGTGGGTTTCAATTTTAAACTAAGTGCAGTGTAACAGCAACGTGAGTGTATACACCTGATGATGGCTGTTTGAGGCCGAAACATGTAGTGTAAAGGGGAGCAAGATCAAGGACATATAATATATTGTTTGCACTTGGGATGGTGTTTATGTCATATATCGTATAGAGTGCAACAGGATGCTTAAATATGATACAGCATAGTGACCCTGACAATGGAATTTGAAAAAGAAATTATCTGAAAGTTCTTGTTTCATGTGGTATTCATTTCATAAGCAAATTATTTTAATGTTAAAACATTGTAAAGTGCTTNACATGGCACTATCTGAACTGTTGTCTCAGTAGCTTAGCTGATAAAGCATCAAGTTGTCTCAGAGAGATACATACCACCATACTCAGGAAAACATATTGTGAGCGGCGATTTCTTAATCTTTTCCTCAAATAAGTCTTTTTTGTTGAGGAACAGAATAATGGATGTGTCAGTAAACCATTTGTTATTGCAGATGGAGTCAAAGAGCTTCAGACTCTCCTGCATTCGATTCTGAAACAAAAAAAGAGTTCACTGGAGACAAGAATTTCACAGTAATAACTGAGATGATATACTTGGCCCAATTTTCTTTATTGCAGAATGGAGCGGTGGGGGGGACAGACAGCTTGGTTTATGAGATCACCATTCTGCCTATGCATATCCCTCTTTAAACTTTTAAACCACTGACTACTTTATGTAATTCTGTACAGACACTGTGCCACTACACTAAATCAGTAATAACGCAAGCGGTGCACACATCTGTGCAGGTGTGATGACCCTAGTGACACTTAACACTGCATATGGCCCTGAAACACTGTATGAAAAAAAAAATGAATAAGGCAACCTTTATATGGGGGGCATGTGGTAGCATAGTTGGTTGAGGCACTATGCTACAAGCCGGAACGTCGCGGGTTCAAGTCCCGATGAGGTCATTGGATTTTTTTCAATTGACCTGATCCTTCCAGCTGCACTATGGCCCTGGGGTCGACTCAGCTTCTAACAGAAATGAGTACCAGGAATATTCTTGGATGGGCCTCCATGGCCTGTTACAGGTATACCTTTAATACTTTAACCTTTATACACTGTGCAAGTCTTTTCAAATGCAACCCATTCTCATAAATGATATTACAAAGTTATAAAGAACATGTTAATTCCTTTAAAAAGTCTTAAAATATGAAAGACTTTTAAAATAAATATTGGAAGTGGTGTCCTGTCTTCTCTCTGCAACATTCTACTTGATCATATTCTGTTCCCCCTTTGGAAGCATAACTTCTTCGAGATTTCCAGTTGTGGTTTCAATGTATACTTTCAGCCGTAACCCAATAGGTATAAATCCAAAAGGGTCAGACCTGATAATTTTGGAGGTCGGAGTCCTTTGTAAATGATGCTGGGACCAAAATAAATGTTCCAGCTTTACCATGGTTGCATGTGCGGTGTGGCATGGAAGCAACAATCCTTTTCACACTTTCTTACTAACGTTAACACACTGCATCACAGTATCTCAATAAACTTCTCCTGCTGCAAGTGTTTATGAACCAAACCATTCTTTTGGGTGACACTGTAAACCAGGTGCATGTAGCAGAGTTTCCTAGTGTTTGTGGGGGTTATCTGCACTTCACACCTCACTACATTTTGAATTTATATAACCTTTAATGTGAAACCAGCCTTCCTCTGAATAAAACACATTATCCAGGATTGTGTTGTTGTCATGTATGAAATTCAGAAACCAGTGGCAACAAAATCTAGAGGGCGTTATTTTTCACAACATGAATTCAGTATTCATTTACTGTTCTATGAGCAAACTTTAAAGACATTTTTTCTAGCTGAGAAAGTTTCCTTAAAGGCTCCTTAGTGATTGCAGCATGCTTTTGGCATCTGCACACTTCTCAGTAACAATCCTGCTATGACGAGCAAGCTGGTGATTAACCATGCTGATATTATCTTGAAACTTCTGATCCAAGTGCAATGGCTCATAAAAGGGATATTATGCACAAAAAACATTCTGATATGCAACAAGATATTATTTATAAAACAATGTAAAATTATGCCCTCACTCTCTTCCACTGTTAGGACCATTTCCTCAAAGGATCAAAATAATGATTTATAATGTTGTATTTTAGCTTCCTGTTGGAGTTTGTATTGGAATTCATTTTTTGTTTTATTTACTGTCCACCACGCAACAATATTACTTGTAGTTACTATAGGATTCTGATGATGGTGTATAACACACTGATATATTGGGTTTCTGGACTTTATCCATCGTCCTGGTTTTTAAGATAACAAATAAAAACACAATGTTTCGGAAACTGGATCTGTTTCCGTCCTCAGGTGAAGGTAAAAATTTTTTCAGCCTGTGTTTAAGATCGGTCGGAACAGTGGTTTAATATTTAGAAAGGAGATTCTGTACTTTCCTCTCCACCTTAGCTGTAGGGTCTTTGGGCAAGGTTTCGTAAACTCCGGACTCTAGCAACGCGTTTAACTAATCCTTGTATTCGGATTCGTCCAAAACCACTGTGCAGTTGCCTTTGTCTGCTCGAAGAATCCTAATTTCCTTCACCTGAGGACAGAAACAGATGCAGTTTCCGAAACATCGTGTTTTTATTTGTTATCTTAAAAACCAGGACAATGGATAAAGTCCAGAAACCCAATATATCAACAATATTACTTACTTACTTACTTACTTACTTATTAGCGGCCTCCGTAGTCTAGAGGTAATGTTCCCACCTCATGACTCGTAGTACGCGGGTTCAAATACCCGGCGGAGGTCGTCGAATTTTTAAGGGCGGAAAAATTCAGGGAACAAGTCTTCCGGGAGGGACTTTAAGCTGTGTGTCCCGTGTCGTAACTTTATGGCATGTAAAAGAACCTCATATCTCCAAAGGGGNATTGAGCTGAGCCCTTCCAGACGAGCCACAAATTCTGCAGCTACTCAAGAATTTCCCAGCATTTTATGGAACCTGAAGGTCCATTACCATGTTCACAAGAACCCCCCCACTGGTCCCTATCCTGAGCCAGATTAATCCAATCCATACCATCCCATCCTAACTCTCTAAGATCCATTTTAATATTGCCCACCCACCTACACCATGATCTTCCCAGTGGTCTTTCCTTCTGGCTTTCCCACCAATATCCTATATGCATTCCTCGTCTCCGAATTCGTGCTACAAGCCCTGCCCACCTCATTCTCCTTGACTTGACCATTCTAAATATACTTGGAGAAGAGTACAAGTTATGAAGCTCCTCATTATGCAGTTTTCTCCAACCTCCTGTCACTTCATCTCTCTTTGGTCCAAATATTCTCCTCAACACCCTGTTCTCAAACACCCTCAGTCTATGTTCCTCCCTTAATGTCAGAGAGTAAGTTTCATGCCCATACAGAACCACAAGCAAAATTATAGTTTTGTATATTCTAATTTTTATCTTTTGGACAGCAGACAAGGCCACAAAAGGTTCTTGATTGAATGGTAGCAAGCATTACCCTCTTAATCTCCTCCTGAATCAGGTTTCGATCTGTTATCGTTGTTCCCAAATATCTGAATTGTGACACATTTTCAAAACATCTGTTTGCTATCTTTATGTCATGATTTTTCCTTGCATTTTGGTGACAAGACAGTAACATGTACTTAGTCTTCTCAGTGTTTACTTCTAGACCAACCTCTTTACTTGCGTCAATTAAAGTTTGTGTGGTTTTCTTTATGGTATCTACACTATCACCCAGTAGATTCACATCATCGGCGTAGACCAACAGCTGATGTGTCCTGTTTAATTTCAGTCCCACCTGGTTTCGCTGTACCTTCCCAATTGCATATTCTAAGGCAAAGTTGGAAAGGAGTGGCGATAAAGCATCTCCTTGTTTTAAACCATTCTGGATAGGAAATTTATCAGACAAATGTTTACCTACACGGACTTTACTATACGTTTCGTTTAAACACATTTTAATCAACCTAACTAGTTTCATGGGTATCCCACAGTCTATCAGAATATTGTACAATACTTCCCTCCTAACTGAATCATGTGCTTTTTTGAAGTCTATGAATAGCTGATGTACTGTCTCATCATACTACCATTTTTTCTCTAATATCTGACGAATGCAAAAGATCTGATCTGTAGTTGATCTGTTATGTCGAAACCCACACTGATGATCCCCAATAATTTCATCTATATATGGACTTAACCTTGAGAGAAGAATATTGGAATAAATTCTGTATGAAGTTGATAGCAGTGATATCCCCCGATAATTACTACAGCCAGTTTTATCACCCTTCTTGTGAACTGGTACAATAATAGACTCCTTCCACTGATCAGGCAATTTTTCCTTATGGCAAATAGAAGTAATTAGATTATGGATCTTAGAACGTAATATTTCGCCTCCTGCTTGAATAAGTTCTGCCAGAATTTGATCAATACCTGGCGATGGTATACCATTTCAATTTTGCAATAGCACTTTCAACCTCAAAAGGGCTAGGATCAGGTATTAACGGATCAGCTGTACGGATTTCTGTCTGCTTAACAGCACTGACCCTATGTACAGTCAATAACTGAGAGAAGTAGTTCCTCCACCTATTCAAAATGTTGTGGGAATCTGCAAGCAGATCACCATTCTCATCCTTCACTAAGTTACTGCTAGGCTGGCAACCCCTCTTAAAATTTAATTTATCCCTCTATACAGGTCTCTAATGTTCTTGTTCTGACTGTTCATTGAAAGCTCATCAATTTTGTCTTTCACATATTCCCTCTTTTTGTTCCTAAAATGCCTGCTGGTTTCACATCTTATATTGTTCAGATTATCCCCATTTCACTCGCTTGGATCCTGTAACCATTGCAATTTGGCCTGCTTTCTTTGATCTAATAATTTTGAGCATCCTTCATCGAACCATGGCTTATGCTTCTTTGATTCATAATAACCTAGACTCTCTTTGGCAGACATTTTTATATTCTCTTTAATAGTTTCCCAAGTTTTATTAACATCCACCTCAGTGCCGAAGTTTGCCAAAGCTGCAAACCTATTTGAGATTTCAACATGATACTGCCCTTTACCCTCTACCTCATTTAATTTCTTGAGATTCAACCTCTCCATATGAACTCTGTGTGTTGTTGTTTGCTCACTGCCAGTCTTTCCCTAACCTTTGCCATCACCAGGTAGTGGTCAGTATCACAATCTGCTGCCTTGAATGACTGGATGTCAAGTAAACTTGAGTGCCATCTCCTGTCTATCAAAATAGGGTCTATTTGATTGGGTATCTTCCCATCAGGAGATGTCCAAGTAAATTTATGGATGTTACAATGTGGGAACATTGTACTTTTGACAGTAAGATTTTTTAATGTGGCAAAGTTTACTGTTCTAACTCCATTATCATTACTAATTTCATGCAAACTCTAATTCCCAATTGTTGGTTTGAAAATGTCTTCCCTCCCTACTTTGGCATTGAAATCTCCTAACAAAATTTTCATAGGGTATTTGAGGAATTTATCAAATATGTGTTCTCGTTCTTCACAGAAGCTATCCTTTATGT